GGGAAGCTGCTGGGAAGGCGGGATGGAAGCCTTGGAGCTGCCGCGGTCTCCACGTGAAAGTTCCCTGGGCGTTTGGTAAAAACTTAGCATCTGCGTGCAAACTAGGGGTGTCTCTCTAAATACTCTGCGTTTCGGTGTATATTTTGGCGTTATAAAGGCTCTCTGTCGCTGCCCTAGGGCAAAAAAAAAGCAGGTACAGGTTATCAGGGGAGCTGCAGCTCGAGAAAAACGTAGGAAATACGCAATATAACGGTGAAAAACAGAACCCGGGAGTGTTAGTGGTGCAGTGAGCCCGGTGGCTGCGAACGAAAATTGCTTTCACGAGTGCATCGTGAAATTGCTGCTGGCGGAATTGGGGGGTTTGCCTCCTTATCGCCGCTCGCGCCTTCTCAGAGCATCTCCAAGCTTTGCTGTTGTGCGGGGCACCGACCAGCTCCTGGTAGGTTTGCGTCTCTTCGCTGTGAGGGATGCAGGAGAGCAAAGTGGTTTCTGTTTCAGATATTATTAACAGAGATTACTTAGCTAAGTTGTAGTTGCTATTTTTTCTTAGTGGTATAACGTCAAATCTAGAAACCTCAGGTTTGAGACTTGAAATCCAAGCAGAGGTCTTGATAGCAACAGTTGGGGGAAAAAAACTCGTGTGGAATTGTGGAACTAGTAAACAGTAATAAGACAACTTTGTCACCTTTTCCCTTTCATCTTTCCCCCCTCCTGCAGCTCTGTATTGCATTATATTGGCAAATCTGCATCTGCAGAGGGAGTAAGGGAATAGCAAATAATACCATGTGTTTTGTAAGCTGATCCAATGCAGAAGAACGTCTCTCGAGGAGTTCAGGAGTTTGCTTTGGAGAAGTGGTTCACAGCAGAGGATGCTTTCCCACTGTATTTGTGTGATAAGATGAATAAAACTACCTGCGCTGCAGTGTAATACTGTTGGTTTGGTTTTTTTTTTTTTCCTGTGATGTTCCTCAGGAGAGCAGAAAGCTTAGCAGAGCTGAAACTGAAAGTTACTCGTGAAGATACTATGTATAGCCAGGGTATTCCTGGTTTGTGTTGAAGAAGCTTGCTCTTTTTCAGGTGTATTTAATTTCTTTTTGAGGCAACAGTGTCTCAAATACAGACTTATAACCAATGGCTTTTTTTTTTAAAAAAAAAAAATTTCATTATAGTTGAAGCAACTTTTAAGCAATGCAAATAACTTTAATTTCACAGCTTCAGTAGCTAGTTTGGTTCTGAAAACGTAAGTTTTCAATTTTTTTTTTTTTATGTATTAGCTGGTAAGCCTTGTAGATGGATGGGGGCGTGTAAAAAGGAAATCTGTTAAGTTGGTGTAATGTATACAAGAGTACATGAAAATTAGCGCAGGCTGTAGTGTGATTACTCTTAGCGCGGGCTTAAAGCCTGTGAGAGTTTAACCTTTCGACAGCAGGGAGTTGAGTTTGGTGTGCTGACAGGTGCTGCTCGTTTTTCTCGTGTGTTCTTGCCAGGGCGCCGCTTTCCTGACCTGCGGTATCGTTTGTTGTGCCTGGTTTTGTGCAGTTTGCAGTTCTGCCGCTGCGTTTCTGTCCCGTTCTCCAGCTCCCACCTCTTCTTAGTATGGCCTCTGGGATATCGGCCTGAATGTGCTAACCCTGCTCCCGGTCATTATAAAAAGCTGCAATCGAGACGCATCTTCCGTTTCTGGAAACACCTTTCCTTTGTCATGTTGAGGGGCCCTGTGCGAGTTCACTGGGTAATCCACGCTGCCCCAGGTGACGTTAGGCAGTGGCCTGCCAGCTCTGGTTTTTGTGGCCTAGAGTTAGGGTCCGAGGCTTCTATCACCAGTCTGTCCTGCAAATAACGTGTCTCTCAGACCGTCAAGTCACTTTTCCTTTTGGTAGAGGTACGGCACTTTTCGGCAGCGATGATCCCTGCGCTCTCTTTCTGCGTCAGGATTAATGTTCGTCTGCAGGAGGTGGTGAGGCAGTTCACGGCAGGGCTGAGCGAAGAGCACTTACTTGGTAGACTGGGTTCTTTGTAGCGATGTCCGTGTACGGGTTAATTAACAAAGACATAAATAACTTTCTCCAGAACTTTTATCACAAGTGTGGCAAGCTGCTCTTTGGCAAGAATGATGTAGTCTCTAGACCTGAAGTTACTTCCCTGTACGCCTTTTGCATATTGTGCAGTAAATAAACTGAGATGTAGTGTGTTTTGAAAGAATATTTCCAATGGTATCGTTACTAATTGTATTTAACATATTTAAAGTGAATTTGCAGTTCTGCCAAAATAGAGGAATTATTTTAAAATAGCTTGTTCACCCAATTTGGGGGGGGGGGGGGGGGGGCGGAGGTGG